AAAAGGAGGAGCCACTCAATTCGACATGTATATTTTTTTTTTTTTTTAAGAAGCAGTATTGTTCGTTTGTGTAACGCAGTTTCCGCTTCTGAACAGGACCTCGCGAATGAAATCGTCGAAATATCTCTGATATTTATTGTTAGTATTATTTTTAGAGCAGAGAGCGGACCTAAAAGTTACGATTTAAAAAGAAACATAAAATATGACTGGGAAATAATATAGTTATTGTTTTCTCTATCGATTAATTTATTGTTAAATTTATTATATTGTTAGCTTAGATTTAATATGTTGTGGTAAAGCGTTTTGCAGAAAGTCATTTATTTGTCCCATTGTTGAGATAATTTGTTCTTTGGAAACAATATTATTTTTTCCATTTCCTAATGAACGATAATACAATTTCAGTTGTAAGATTTATTCATCAAAGTTGAAGTAAGTACAAATATATCTTCTTTACACAGAAACAACACTAAATCAACTGTCACATGTTTCTACCAGTCGTTTATAATAAACCACATGTAATTTAAAGTAATTGTTATTTAATCTCCCGCTCAACGTCAGTCAAAGAATCCTCGAATCCTCCTTTCTTTTTAATAAAATCCGCTTACAACAATCACGAATCAGTTCCATCACTATTCAAAACGTTTCAATTTTGGAGTTTGTTCGCCAATGCACAGGGAGAGTCGTTCTATGTCTCGTGACGCTAATTCCTCCTAGTCTCCCAAGGAAGAACTTCCATGATAAAACCGGATATACACCCTTGCCGGGTTTAATAAAGTTATAAAGTTTACGGGTATCGTAACTGAGAGTGACTTTTCAAATTTCCCTCGTCGTCTTGTACGTTTCTTGTTCAACTTCTTGATCCATCTTGCGTTTATTTTTCCAAGTTCTCTTGCCCACTTCGCTGCAACGTCTTCGGTTGTATCTTCGTTCCTCGTCGAAGATTCCATGTTTCGACGCGATAGGTTCTAGTGACGCAGAGTTTTCGATAATAACTGGAAACTTTCCATCGGTCTTCGTATCGCGCAGATGCGGACAAAATTACATTCACATTTTAGTCGAAATATACAGGGAACAACTACTGCATACGGCAATTTAGTCGCAACACTTGTTCCATGTTATAGTTATTTACTTCAGCTTTTACTCGTTCGATTCAAAGCATAATTATATTTTATTCGAAATATATAGGGAACTACTGCATGTGGCAATTTAGTCGCAACACTTGTTCCATTTTATAGTTATTTACTTTAGCTTTTACTCGTTCAATTCGAAGCATAATTATATTTTATTCGATTATTTAAATTGCAATTTTTATCGAGGAATACGTTCATCGTTGTTTATCTTTCGTTTATTTTGCGAAATTTTATTCCAGATAAGAATATTGCCCATCTCTGGCATCGCGCGAGATGTTATTTCCATCACTGGACACGGTGACTCGCGATTTGTGTTATGCACCGTTTCCGGGTGACTTCGTGGCCTTATATAGGAGGATGAAATTCGTAGAGGGGAGAAAACTGTACGTTTGCCTCACCGGGGGCCGATAATTTACTGTATAAATGTATTCCGGGCAAGGTGAACCCTCGCCACTGTGTCAATGTTAAATGAGCTCAAGGTTCGGCGTTCGATCGTCCACTGCAATTTTCAATTGGGTAAGCATGATACGCATGTGAGATATCGGTTGCAAAAATGTTTACATTATTATTATTATACGGTTTTATATTTGATAATGCAGATTGATCTGTCGGTAATGTAGACTGCTCGACCGATAATGCAGATTGCTCTGTCGGTAATGTTGCGTGATCGGCCGATAGGGCAGATTGCTCTGTCGGTAATGTAGAGTGCTCAGCCGATAAATGCAGATTGCTCTGTCGGTAACGTAAGGTGCACGGTCGGTAATGCAGAGTGGTCGGCCGATAATGCAGATTACTCTGTCGGTAATGCAGAGTGATTGGCCGACAATGCAGATTTCTCTGCCGGTAATGTTGCGTGATCGGCCGATAATGCATACTACGCTGTCGGTAATGTAGAGTGCTCGGTCGATAATGCAGATTGCTCTGTCGGCAATGTAGGGTGCTCTATCGACAATGCAGATTGCGCTGTCGGTAATGTGGAGTGCTCGGCCGATAATTCAGATTGCTCTGTCGGTAATGCAGAATACTTGGTCGATAATGCAGGTTATTCTGTCGGTAATGTAGGGTGCTCGGCCGATAATGCAGATTTCTCTGTCGGTAATGTAGAATGCTTTGCCGATAAATGCAGATTGCTCTGTCGGTAATGTAGGGTGCCCGGCCGGTAATGCAGATTACGCTGTCGGTAATGTAGAGCGCTCAGCCGATAATGCAATTATTTCATACTTTTCACTACATTTTCCCATACTTTTAAGCAATTATATCTAGAGCTAGTGCGTATTGATATAAATTGACTAGAAATTATTTTATTTACTTTTCACTGCCCTTTTTTGGACGTCGGTTAAATTTTTTTTTCCAAAAAATTGTTTTATTATTTCTATAAGTCGAAAGTAGCGAGACAACCGTGTTGAACTTTGTTTGTTAGGAATATACACGCGATTGTCTTAGAAAATAAAATATTTCGAAACATGTAGAACAGTTCGAAAATTACCGTTTGTACCGTGAGATCGCTGAAATATCACACTGTGTGACGTCTGAATTGTCTGAGAACTATAAGTTGTATAATTACGTTGTGTTATGTTGTTGCTGTTGTTGTATTACGGTTTACAAGAAACCGACGCGCGGTGCAAGGGTTGTGTGCGATGTTTCCGACAGTACGCTTTAGAAAAGTTAAAGATACGGGGAGAGGAAAGTGCACATGTAGCAGTGAGGGAAAAGTGAATAAGAAGTAAGGGAAGGGGGGATGCAGCTAAAAAACCGTTGTAAAAGCTAACCTCAATCTTGGTCCTTTAAATATTGAAGCCTGGCGCAGGACAGGAATAGAGCGTACATGCATCATTTTTTAAACATCTATGATCCCATGTCGAGTCTGTCTCGACACAGAAGTACAGTAAATGAAAATGTCCTTGAATGTCGTAAATTCATATAAGTTGAGGTATTTAGAACAAGTCGTCTAAATAATTCGATTATTTTTTAACCGACTTCGATAAAGGAGAAGGTTACTCAATTCGACATGTATATTTTTTCTTTTTTTCAACGATAGGAAGAAAACTGTCCAACAAGAGTTGTTTGATTCCGAGGGGCACGTAACGTGGTGCCAATAACTTTTTTATCGATGGAAGCGTAGAGGAGATATGAAGGTCGACTCTATTCTTTTACACTCTTCTTTTTCAATAAAAACATTTTTTGAAAATATCTCGAGAACTAATAATTTTTTTGCCATGGTACCCTAATCATTTCTTACGTAGAATGAACGGAAGAATCGATCTGTGTAAAAAAAAAATATGCATTTCTATTTAAAGAAATGATGCAATTGTTAATTGCATATGCACTGCTGCATATAACAAAAATTTTAAGGCCTACAGGTATAATGCTCTTCGAACTATTTATCTTTCTCCTTTGGCATTTTTTTCGTAAATGCAATAATGACGGAGTTATGACTTGAAACAATTGCGTGAACCACCCTGTAGACATTTTTATTCGAAACGCGGTATCGTTTCGCAGGTTGTGTAGTTCGCGAAAAGCAATTAGCCAACGGTAATCGTAGGGCTTTGGACAGTTTTCGTACATAGATTAGCGCCGGCGTTGTACGCGCGTGCAAACATACGAGAGGCCGTCGAGTTCATCGCAACGACAGGACGATTTACGAGGTTTCGCAGGCCCGCCTGTCGGCCAGATAGAACGGATGTGTCAATTACGATAAAGCTCATCGGCGATCAATGTATCTGATGAAATTATTTAGACGACCGCTGTCAAGCAACGACGAGTGCCTGCTGGTTTACTGCGATATTGCGCGGTCTTGCACTATTGTATCAGAAATATAATTAACCCGCCTATAAATGGTTCATTGTTGCATCTCGGTCGGTAATTTGTTTATGCGGAGCCCGAATAGATACCGAGTATTCGCGAATAACTGAATCCTGCGTTACAAAGAATCTGGTATGAAATTAAATCAATTAATGTATTAATTATTAATATATATTATATACAAATGATATATTTCACACGGAATGATGTTACAATGTGGTAAGAGTCGAACAATACCGTTAATAAAATTTATTATAAATTTCATCTCATATAATTGTACAATTGCTTATTAGCTTGATACTGTCCGCGTTTCTGTATTTGAGAGGGTGTAAACAATTAAATTTATTAATTACGAGAAAAATTCATCCAAAGAAAGATCGATCATCGCTTTCTCTCGACTCCGTCTTTGTGCTCGTACTAGTTGATCTGTTTTCTCTCTTCCGATCGGTTGAAAGTTTGATTACCTCTGAAGATGTTCGGCATTCCTTGAGACTATCCTTGCTGTGGTTTACCGTGAAACTTTTCGATGAAGCTCATCGAGAACTTGATTTGCGTGCGATGTACCCTAATCTACCGATTCTCGCAAATTTAGTCATTTATGGTTCATAATAATTCTTAATCGAGTCGTGAATGTATAAATGGGTGAAATTAAATCCACAGGTATAGAGGATTATTTTTTCTTCTTTCGATCCTTGCTATCGCGCGGAGAATTTCATCGATCCGAATAAACGTTTATCCTTTCTTCAAGAATCCTCAGCTTGTCCTCCTCCGATAAACTATCATTACTGTTTCGGTTGCATGAAACGCAATCCTCGTATTTTATCCCGAGATCATTGTCTCGCCGCGTGTTCGAACTAATAGGCGAAACATTCGTCTCCGCGTTCCCATCTTTTCGTTTATTCTCAGCATCCGACCCCGATAAGCTCTTCTCCTTATCTATCTCGGTCAGTTTCTCGAACAATTCTTTGTCCTTCAACCCTTTTCTCATGTCCTCGCCGAAGGCAACTTCTTCCAATTGCTCTTCGTTTTCTCTTTTCCATGCTTGCCGTTTATTGAGCAATATTACCTCGTCCTCCACTTCGTTTCTCCCTGTTATTGGCTCCTCTTCTACCGCGAGTGGATCTAAAATAACAATATTTCAAAACCTTGTTATTAGCTATTGCTATTGGAGAAGACTGTTTAAAGAGACCAACTGGGACATTTATTTAAATTGTTATGTTACTTACAAATGAAACAGCTGAGATGAGAGTATTCATATTTATAAATATGAATATGAATAAATTTATGAATAAAAATGTGAATAACGCGTTATTCGCCTTTTTCTGACATTTTTTATAATTTGACGAAGAAACGTTTGGAACAAAAGTTAATTAGTATTCGATTAGCCGCAAGTATCAACGTTAGTAATATTAAAACAAAGGTTGACTTTTTTAAATGACACTGTATGATTTTGACTTAATAATGTTGTGTATAATGATACGATGACCACCCTGTATATACAAGTGCAAAATTATATATTCTATAGCGAAGGTGTTGTCAAACAAAATTAAATAGGAGTTTAAAATACAAATAATAGATTGCCGGCCGATAAATGCAGATTGCTCTGTCGGTAATGTGGGGTGCACGTTCGGTAATGCAGAGTTATCGGCCGATAGGGCAGATTGCTCTGTCGGTAATGTAGGGAGTTTGGCTGATAATGCAGATTGATCAGTTGGTAATGCAGGGTGCTAGGCCGATAATGCAGATTGTGCTGTCGGTAATGTAGAGTGCTCGACCGATAATGCAGATTGATCTGTCGGTAATGTAGAGTGCTTAGCCGATAATGCAAATTGCTCTGTCGGTAATGTTGCGTGCTCGACCGATAATGCAGACTGATCTGTCGGTAATGTAGAGTGCTTAGCCAATAATGCAGATTGCTCTGTCGGTAATGTAGAGTGCTCGGTCGATAATGCAGATTGCTCTGTCGGTAATGTACAGTGCTCGGCTGATAATGCAGATTGCTCTGTCGGTAATGTTGCGCGCTCGGCCGGTAATGCAGATTGCTCTGTCGGTAATGTAGAGTGATCGGCCGATAATGCAGATTACGTTGTCGGTAATGTTGCGTGATCGGCCGATAGGGCAGATTGCTCTGTCGGTAATGTAGAGTGCTCAGCCGATAAATGCAGATTGCTCTGTCGGTAACGTAAGGTGCACGGTCGGTAATGCAGAGTGGTCGGCCGATAATGCAGATTACTCTGTCGGTAATGCAGAGTAATTGGCCGACAATACAGATTGCTCTGCCGGTAATGTTGCGTAATCGGCCGATAATGCATACTACGCTGTCGGTAATGTAGAGTGCTCGGTCGATAATGCAGATTGCTCTGTCGGCAATGTAGGGTGCTCTATCGACAATGCAGATTGCGCTGTCGGTAATGTAGGGTGCTCGGCCGATAATGCAGATTTCTCTGTCGGTAATGTAGAGTGCTTAACTGATAATGCAGATTGCTCTGTCGGTAATGTAGAGTGCTCGGTCGATAATGCAGATTGCTCTGTCGGTAATGTACAGTGCTCGGCTGATAATGCAGATTGCGCTGTCGGTAATGTAGAGTGCTTAACCGATAATGCAGATTGATCTGTCGGTAATGTTGCGCGCTCGGTCGGTAATGCAGATTGCTCTGTCGGTAATGTAGAGTGCTCGGCCGATAATGCAGATTACGTTGTCGGTAATGTAGAGTGCTTGGCCAATAATGCAGATTGCTCTGTCGGTAATGTTGTGTGCTTAACCGATATTGCAGATTGATCTGTCGGTAATGTAGAGTGCTTAGCCGATAATGCAGATTGCTATGTCGGTAATGTTGCGCGCTCGGCCGGTAATGCAGATTTCTCTGTCGGTAATGTAGAGTGCTTAGCCGGTAATGCAGATTACGTGGTCGGTAATGTAGAGTGCTCGGCCGGTAATGCAGATTACGCTGTCGGTAATTAGTAATTAGTATTCGAAAAAGTTAATTAGTATTCGATTAGCCGCAAGTATCAATGTTAATAATATTAAAACAAAGGTTGACTTTTTTAAATGACACTGTATGATTTTGACTTAATAATGTTGTGTATAATGATACGATGACCACTCTGTATATACAAGTGCAAAATTATATATTCTATAGCGAAAGTTTTGTCAAACAAAATTAAATCGGAGTTTGAAATACAAATAATAGATTACTTTGACTCGTAGAGATTTTCGAAATATTCGACGTCTTTGGAGTCTCCCTTTTCCACAGAGAATTACTTAGTTTCAAAAGGTCGATATCCATATTATTTCTATCTATGTCGTTCCTCTTTTTCTTGGAGTAGTTTTCTTGTACTCCTTTGACGAATCCGTTTCTCTGATATCGAGGGCTGTACTTGTATGAAAACGTGACAATAACAATACGTACATAGAATTCTGTTACTTTTCGATTTGTTAGTAATTTAATATTTAACCTTTTAGACACGATGCACTACACTCGTACAATTTGCAGATGTACGTCAACAAAGAATTTTTCATTTACTTTTGCGAGTAACTACATCGTGTTCCACAATTCTTTAATCTTATTTCCAAGTCGTTTCATATAGAAGCTAGCAAAATATATATTCAAACTGCATAATACAGAATATTCAAGCATCATAGAACACGATACATCGAATAATAGCATAATGCATCAAGGTACAAGGTAGTACTACATATCGTAATACATTATAATACTGCAAAATACAGTATATTACAGAATTAGCTACCTAAATAGAGCCTCAATCTACATAATACACAAAAATATACAGAGAAATAGCATAATGCATCATGGTACAACGATATACTACACATTGCAACACAGAACAATACTGCAGAATGCAGTACATTACAGTATATTTTCAAATAAGTACATACTTATCTGCGCCCTTCTTCCGCGAGATCTCCTGTTCTATACGAAACTTGCCGCCATTATCACTTGGTTTCACGTTGGTCATATCCATGGAAGTAAAAATTAGCGGTTGCTCGTACCCCGAGTGGAAAGACTCCCAGAAATCTTTGTCCAGATATCCACGTTTCTGTCGCGACGGAGTAGCCTTGTGCACGCTGTCTTTGCGTTCTGACTGATCAATAGCGCTCGCACCTTTGTGACGCTTGCGATGTTTCCTCTTACGCTTTTTGCGGTTTTTGTGCTTCTTACGTTGCTTTGGGTGTTCGTCGGCACTGCGGACTACTCTGCGCCTTTTACCGTGAAAGTCCATGCCATCTAAAAGGTATAGAAAGTGTGTATACATTAAAAAATCTATATCGAGTCATGCAATTGTTCAAAGTGTAACTGTTACGAGGATGATTGTTTAATTTACATACACGTGAACTAAACTTTACGGTAAAACAAAAATTCGTAAAAGCGATCCGTGGAAAATTTTTTTGTTCAAAGAAGGATTAAGGAAGCAAAGAGTATATTATGTTGAAAAATAGATAAGATTTTATGATAAAGCCAAACGTAGGGTGTATATAGTAAAACGTGAACTAAACTTTACAAATTGTTCAATTGTACAATTGTTTATCGTACAGTTACTTTTATATTATGATCGCATCTACTGTTTTTCTTCTCTTTTTAATTAAATTTAAGAATTTTTTCCTATAACATTCGTATGAACTTAATCTCTATTACCGTCACGAAAATATTCCCCGTCTTCGAGCAGACTCGCGTTGCCAAGTTTCAACATATTCGGCATGCTCATTACAGGCGAAAAACCATAACCAATATTTGGTTCTGTCGAGTAGGTCCAACTACTCGTGTTTCTAATTGCCGTACGGTACTGAAAATTTTGTCCAGGTTTTACCACAGCTGCTCCGATCATAATCGATGATTTCGCTTTCTTTTCGCCATCTTTCTTTGCCTCGATGTACTCTAGCAGCTGATCTAATTGTTTAGCCTGAAACGATTAACAAGAGAACGTGGTAACACAGATAGACAGAATTCGAATAATAGATGATTAGACTGCGGATGTTTATGCAAATTCATTTTATTAATGTAGATGTATGCAGATGAAGAAAAGGAACTTAAATTGAAGTATATTTTGTCTTTTAAAAGCTGTAACGTGTATTTTATTTGTTACTTTTATATTTTCATATATTGGTATTTGTATATTTTTGTGTACTTATACTTGTCATAAATGCGTAAATATTGGTATTATGTGGATGACAAATAAAGACAACATGAGATTCAATTTCGTCAAATAAAAACAACATGAGATTCACTTTTAACAAATAAAAGCGACATGAGATTAAATTTTTAACGAACTGACTGACAGTTTGCATTTTATGCGTTTTTTTCAATCTTTATTTAGACATAAATTAATTATACGGAATATCGATAACTTGCCATGTAATCGTGTACAGTTTGAACTTTCGTCTTGTCCTTCTCCGACAACGTGTTGTACTCCTTTATCAGGTTTTCTATTAATTGAAGCTTTTTGTACAATTCTGCGATCTCGTCTTGCATTCCCATATCTGGTAAGGCTTGGAACAGGAACTTGTCCCGTGGAAAGTGATCCGAGGAGTGCCCGCCGTGTACCAATGGCCGCAATGGCATCTAAAATGAAATATTTAGTGCGGAACATTTGCAAAGAATCGTTATTTAAGAGTTCCTATTATCTTAAAAGACTTTTAAAAGGATCGACTTTTGTATTGCTTGAATTTTCATAAACCTTTAAGTGTTTGACGTATGTTTGGAATTATGTTTATTATTATAATAAAAAATTATGATAAAACGATGACAATTTTCTTTAAAAAGCTTCAATCTCATAGTATCGTTTGATTGTTGTGTGGTAGCTAATTCTGTAACAATTGATCGTTTATAACTATAGTTTAAATAAACATATTTATTCGATAATTGATTACGTTAAATTACCAACTTTGTACGTTTTCGACCTGATTTCTATCATAATGAATTTATGTACCTATAAGTCTCAACCTGATGGACATTGCAACTTATCTATGAACAAAATTATTTCTTTATGAACAAAAATATACGTTTCTTTGAAATAAGTATAAATATATGTGCAAAACTTAAAACCTCTAAAAAAAGAAATTCAAAAGGAAGTGCTTTTTCTAGGATTCTAGATTAGAAGAACTTCAATCGTGTGCATTAAATGTTGAGTACCTGTTCTAGCGAACTGTCCTGCGAATTTACATCCAGTATCCAGTCCAAGAATTCTGTCAGATCCGGTGAAAGAGAGACGCAAGTTTTTCTCTGAACTTCGTCGTAAATCAGTCGATTCAGGAGTATCATGACTCTCTTCATCAAGTCTTCCGTGTGCTTGATCTGAAACAGTTAACAGCACTGTTTGAACGCTCGACTCATCAAAATTCGAGTCTGCCGATCGAATTTGCCGCCGACTAATTTAATTGTAAAGTAAATTACCGATTTTCTTGGATTTATCCGGTCTTTACTGTACTTAGAATTTATGAAGTTACCTCGTCGTCGTCGACAGACTGTTGATAGCTTTTATCAGCCTTTACTACGTCATCGATTTTATGATTTTGATGAAGTCCCGGACCCAGCGACGCCTTCAGATCCTCGTTCTTTCGAACCTAAATATTTTCACCGTATTGGAAATGGCTAATTAAATAAATGTTTCTCTTTTATTATTTAGCAAACTAGACTTTATTATATTCAATCTATGTATATCAAGGAAGCTACGTCCGTACCGCACGAAATCTTTCGAAGAACTAACTGGATGAAAAATGTAGTCACAGGGATCCGGCAAAAATTAGTCGTACGACAAAGGAACCATTTTTTAACACACGTGTTCATTTGTTCAAAAAAATGTCTATATAAACACATCCTATCACGCGTCCAGCATATCAGATGTCGATTAACTTTTGTCGGTCGTATATTCCAACACACTGAAACGCAACAACCATGGTTTTTAACAACTACGTAAAAGCACCTGTTCAAAAATTTGATCCACGATCTTTCCCGCCAGTTCGCCGTGAAGAGCCGCATCCATCTGTGATTCGTCTTCCACGTCATCAGCCGCTAAGAGCAACGAGATCTTTTTTCTCTGGTTGTCGCCATCTCTGATCATTGTCTAAAAGATTACCGTTGATCCTTTTCTTTAATTAAATTACGCATTACTCACCACCGTTTTCCATCCTCAATTCGAACAATTAACAGTTCACGTTTACTCACATTTTCGCTCTCGACTTCTCCACGACGTGCTTCACTCTCGTCCATGGCTACTCGGCGACGATCGCCGTGAACTTTGTCCTCGTCTCGAGAAGCTTTACTCTTCTTAACGTTGGCGTGATGATTCGAGGCTTTGGACGTGCGCTTCTTGTGTTTCTTTCGATCGGTGTGCTTCGTTTTCGAGTCGCTAGAATGTTTCTTGTGGCGTCTTCGTTTCCTGCCGTTCTCGGAATATTTCGATTTGTCCACGTGGTTCTTTCGTTTCTGTTTCCTCGACGTTTCACCATGGTGCTTGTTCCTTTTCTTGTGTTTATCCCTTCTCTTCGATTTCACGCTTCTGCTCGCTTTCTTCAAATCGCGACTCTCGTCGTCCGCCGGGGAATCGTACTCTTCTTCTTCAGAGTTCGAATCGAGGAGGTTGGGATAACCACCGTTCGCGTTTCCGTACGAATTCGAGAGCTGAACACGATTATCCATCGTCCCCGTGTTCTTCGAGTACCGATCGTAGTCCATCTTTTCCGAATCGAGCTGGCGGTTCGTCTCGTCGTAGAATGTTTCGTAGGACGAGTCAATCGCTCTCTTGACTCTGGCGTTGCTTCTCCACGGTGGATTTTGCAGATCCGAGGGTGAATTCGCAATCTCCAACTTCGCGAGCTTCGAAGTTTCTGATCCTAATTTCGACGTGAAATCTCGTGTTCGAGTAATTTCAGTGGACGTATCGACTAAATTTTGTTCCGAGCTCACGGATGATTCTTCGTCTTTATTCTTGGCTAAAGTAGGTTCAACGCGGAGACTCGCGTTCGCTTCTGTATTAAACTGCACGTCTTCGACAGTCTTCAAACCCCTACCGAGCCGCACTCTTACGTCCTCGTCGAGATCATCGGTCCAGTCCAAGGGCTCCACAAAGGACTCGTGAAAATCCCTCGAACTAATGACCGTCTGTTTTTCCCGATCTGCATTCTGGACGCGTTCCCAGGCCGACCGCGGTTCCAGATATTTACGATTTTCGTAAGGAGAACGCGAATCTGTGTCGATATATTGCCTCCGGCCCGTTAATGACCAGCTCGCGGCGTCTTTCTTCGCGGTCGCGTCGTCTCTCGCCCCGCTCACCTGCGATTCAAGCTTTATAGAGCGAAAGTAAAGTAAGTCGGGGCAATAATTTATTGGAAACGGTTCGGTTTACTTTTTCACCTTTTGCGCTCGCCATTCACCGGTCGTTCCGATAGTGCTAGGTCCTCGTAATTTCTGCTGCGTGATGTTAGTTTGCTCGGAACCGCCTTTAAACATATCGTCCGTGCTTTTTAGGGCGACATAATTACTTTGGGAAACGTTCTCCGCGCTGGGCTTCCTCAGCTGCTCGAACGAAACGATCGACGACGTTTTTTCGGCTATTTCTGAACTCACTGGTCCGTCGTGCACGAACAACAGAGGCATCAGGTTGGGACTGGAATCTGGAAGCGTGTAAGCTTGATTCCACATCGATTCGATTACTTTGTTGATACACATTAGAGATTTTGTCCAAATTGAAATATGTCGCGGTTTTTTTTTTTTTATTTATTCTAAGCATTTAAACCCTTCTGGGTTTATTTTGCTTTATAAGAATAATACAATTGAATACCATAATATATAATATGTTAGTAATACCATAAGGATACAATATAATACAAGTAAGTAAAATAACAAGGTCCGTCAACGCTAAATGTGTAAGTTACAATTTTTGAAAAAGGAATCGATACTTATACAAGCTTTAACATTAGGCTTTGCTATGAGGTGATGTCGCGGTTCGTGTGAAATTATAGTAGATTTATGTTATCATTTTGTCGATTTCGAAATTATTTTAATAATGAAGACTCGAAGTTGCCAGATTTTTATTGATTTTTATTGAACTCCCATAGCAAAAGAAGTTTCATCTTCGAAACTATTGAAGAAATTAATCCTTCGAAATACTGTCCAACAAGTTTAAACTTTTTTAGGTTTTGCGATATTCATTGGGTGATTCTTATACCGTTCTTCGTTCTAAATACAAATCTGAATTAAAGCGAAAATGCTCCATCACTTTCAGTTTTCGAAAAACACGAGGTTTTGTGAAATTGGTCGATTTTGGGAGAAATGTAGTGCTACTTGAAAACTATAAACTTTAAGGAGAACTATAAATTTGAAAGTTTTATTTAGTCTTAAAAGATAGAAGAGAGTTTTCCGAATATGTAGATATATTCGTTAATAATTCAGAAACGAAGGATCGTTCGACATTTTTGCAAAGGAAATTGTGGTTCGGAATCATCTGAACTACCCCCATTTCCGGTTCTTACACTAATTCTGAGACATCTTCTATTTTTCTCTAAATCTCTGTATATATGCCATATTTTGGTTTGCTTTCTCGTGCTATATTAATAAGGAAACTTCAAAGAACGTCTGCTACCCGTCGAACGAATCGGGCTACCCTTCGTTTCCGGTTCTTACACTAATTCTGGGACACCCTGTATTTCAAGTTGAACAGAATCGGTACATGGAATACCATGATCGAAAGAATTCGAAAAACTAGTGCACGTTTACCGGACGTTCGAGGAGAATTTCTAGTTTCCGGAGATTGTATTTGATCTTTAGACGAATCTGCAATCATATTCGATGGATGATCACCGGTTTCGTCGCCAGCTTCGTAATACATTCTCTGGTCTCCCTTGATTCTGGGTTTCCTTTTCGTTTCGTCGTCTCTCCAATCGTAGAGTGTCTTCAATTCATCATATAACGGTTCGACATCGTTGGACGTTTTGTCGTTTCTGGGAAACAGAGAAAAAATATGGCAGCAGTACTCTATATATCACTATCACACAGTATCGCCGAAAAAAGCAATGCATAAGAAGTTAACTTAAGGGGTAACACCACTCTAGAGGCTGAAATAGCCTCGCTTTGATAATTAATTTTGAGAGTATCGCGAATAGGATTCCTTTTTACAGGGTTTATTTAATACGTATTGTATAAGTATAGACAAAAATCATTGTATCATAATTTTAGTGCAAAATGGCGGCAACAAAGCGAATCTTCAAAATTGAGTTTCTTTAAAACGCCTTCACGGAAAGACGGTTTTCTCGTTGTGTATGAGATCTGGAACAAACAAATAACAAATTTCATAATATATGTATATACTATTGGCTATAGAAGTACGTAGGGCTATTTTTTTAAATCAAATATTGTAGAAATAGTGCACTAACCCATTTTTTACATTAAATAAAAAAAAACCGCTACGTACTTCTATAGCCCACAGTATATACATTTTGAAATGTGTTGGTTTTTTGTTCCAAATGTTATACACAACGAGAAAACGTGAAGTTTGGGGACACGCTTCGTCGCCGCCAGTTTGTACTAAAATTATAATCCAACAATTTTTGTTTATACTTCAATATGTGTTAAATAAACCCTGTAAAAAGAAATCCTATTCCTTTCGCGATACCCTTAAAATTAATGATCAAAGTTATGCTTTTCTTCAGCCTCTAGAGTGTTGTTACCCCTTAAGATTTGGATCTTCCGATAAAAAAATCGTGTTTATACTTGTCCATCGGCGATGTGTAAAAGAATGACGAGCAATAGCAATTTTATAATAAAATCGTTATTACTCGTTGAGCAGCCATCGTACAAAAGGGAAGAAGGGCGTACTTTTGTTCCATGAATTGAATGTCTTCGAAGAAATCGTCGATCATTTTTGGTCTCGAATTTTTATCCACGTTTAGAATACAATCTGCCGGTTCCACCATCGTTTGCCTTGCGCTATTCGTTAGGAACTTCTCCTCGTTTCCCTCGAGCGGTTGATTTAACCTGATAAGACGCCTCGATCAGTCCGATAAAAAGTTTCGTTTACATGTTTTGGACCCCAATTTCGCGATCACTTAGGTCAGTGTCAACCCTGACGCAAGGTTTACGAATGCGAACATTATTGGCGTCGGTTTCTCGCATTAGATGAATGAATACTTTGAGCAAACAAACTATATAACAAACGCCAATATCAGTGTGTCATTTGACTCATGAAGAAGGTAACAGGAAGGAGTATTTCGCCCCGATACGATTTGCGACTACGAAAACTTCAAGGAGTCCAATGACAAATTTCTCGGATTTTTAAAAACGTGTCCTCGAGGTGGTATTTGCAAAATAAACATTTATTTTTATAATTGCTAATATCGCAAAAATCAGATCTGCTCCAAATAAAAATATATTTAGAAAGAACAACCACTCCTAATAAAAATAAAAAAAAGGTGGTCGATAAGATGAACAATTCCAGAGAAAAAAAATTCAAATCTACAACGAACATTTTTTAAGAAAATACGCAAAAATCGCGATATTTGAAGGCCTGTATTTCTCAAACGATTTCGAAACGAGCAAAATGATGACTTAAACTCCTCCTAATTTCACATAAACTACAATATATTTCATTTGGGACAAAATCTGATTGTGAGACATCGACCAAAACAAGTGATCGATTTGGCGTGGAATGAGCCAATGCGTTTACAAGAACCCTTATCCTTGAGTTTCTTATACTGCTAATGATTATAATAAACAACATCAAGATACGAACCCGAAAGAGCGCTTGACAAGACAGTGATTAATAAAAAAGAAAAACAAAAGGAAAAATAGAGAAGTGAATTTCGAATGGTATTTGACTGTAGTTTGGAAAAAAACAATGCAAGTTCGTATAATCTTGACACGTGGAAACTCTGCGTTCTACTCGTCTCGTGGGAGAATTTACCGCTGACCTCGCGCAATTAATGCCGTTCGCGTTGTCTTCACCTTGATCTAACCTTCCCGGCTGTCGGTTTCCCGACGATCCATCCTCTTCGTCGCGTTCGACCTTGGGCGATAACCTTGAAGTGGCGGCCCGTTTCTCCGTCTCTTCAGTCACGTTAGACGACGTTTTACCGATGCTAAAGAACTGCTCTTTCGGCTCTTTGAGCTTCAACCTCTCCCGCTCTCTCTCTTCTTTCAACATCTTCTTCTCGTGCTCGTTATTCTTCACGAAAGGCGGTGGACAAGTCGCGAGACCCTCGGCACTCTCCGCTGCGGTTGAAAACGAACCGTGAGCTTTTTTCGTTCATCGAGGCCTGGATTGAAACTAGTTGTGGCGTAAAAAATTACTAACAGTGATGATTGTAATAAACAACATCAAGATTAATAAAAAAGGAAAAATAGAGAAGTGAATTTTAAATGGTATTTCCCACTATATCACTAACAGTGTTTTTTCACGGCGATCACACCGTTCTCGAATTTGATCTGCGTGAAATTTTGAGGCACACGACTACAATCCGCGTATCCTTGGCCACACAGTTATTCGCGATATGTAAGTATTATAACATACGTGGTTATTAGAACATGAGTTGTGTATTTTCGTTTCGAACACCATTCTTCAAGCTTGAGACAACTTGATTTTTCAGTACAATAATAAAATAATTAGATTTAAGTAATTTGAATTGAATTTTTAAACAAACCTTATCGTATTTTATTATAATTTTTATATACGTTATAAAACAGACTGAGTGGAGTATAAAAAATAAAGAATCTTCCCATAGGCGCGGGCACGAAGAGGATAATGTTGTAATTTTTACATTTGTTCGTTTAAATGATTGACGACTACTGTTTTAGGGGCTTTGGTGTTTAATATTCGAATATTGCGAAGTGCACGCACATTTTTTCGTTCGAACAGTTGACGACTCCTGTTTTAAGGGTTTTGGTGTTTAATATTCGAAGATTGCGAAGCGCACGCATTATTACCGAGGTCCACGTTCGATTCAACGCCGTTCTTGTCGTTGTTATTTTTCACACGTTCTTGATCGTTAATGGCGGACAAAGCGCCATCGTCTTGTTCCTGGTTATCGCTATCGTAGTCGTAGTACTGTATAATGTCGACCGGATTGCGCCTCTTTCTCTTGAATCTGCGTTCCGACTTCTTCTTGTCGAGCTTCTCTTTTATCATTACGTTTAGTTTCGCCTTCACGGGATTCCTTCTACCGGACTGCGGGGATCGTTGTTTCCTTTGCCCTGGCACGCTATTCTCTTCTAGAAACAATTAACATATTTTATTCTAAAGCAAAGCCATTCCGTGGATTCCTACGTTTCAACCATTTTATTCTGATAATTCTCGGAAACAGTATAAAAAAATTAATTTAGAAGAACAATGCCACGTAACGCGAAGAGGAATGTGCGATACAAAAAGAGAAGCTAGTTTATATTAATTTTAAATTAATTTTCAATCAATATAATCGTAATGATTCTAAAAAGTCAAATTCGTATCGATGATTTAGTAACAATTTATTGCTAAAGTATTTAGTTGCACATGTACTTCTGATGATCCCATCTGCAACCATATATTGTTCGTGACTATTTTTATTGCACGGAGCCTATTGGTTATAGATTGCCACTAAAGAGTGTGAAATAAATTAATTTTTAGGAAAAAAAAATATAAAAAAATACAAATTAACTAGAAATTATTCCATACTCTTTAGTGCAGTTTTAATATTTCTCGAAGTCGGTTGTATTTTTTTTTCCCAAACATTATTTTATCGACGTTATTTTGTCGGCGCTGCGTGTAGACGTTCGATGAAAAGCAGTAATTGAATTACATGGCGAATACGCTCCAGAATAAACAATTAAACATGTTTCTGTTGAATTTAATGTTTCTTTCCCCATAATAAAATTAAAAAAAAAAGAAACAACGGCGGATAATTACGCACCAATCCAATATAAATGGTCGAAACGTTTCCTAACACATTCTACAGTAGAACATCTAATTTCGACGAATACTTCATGTTTCCCGATCGTT